CTTTGACTTTCTGCGAGTCACCATTAGAGTATTTATTTCTCAAAAAATTCAGTTCAATATGAAGCTATCAGCACTTTTATGGATTAGAATTTCAAGTACTTGTAGATCGTACAGTCAATAATCAAACAGACAAGTTTAAACTCAAATGAAAGTGGATTTATATTCTTAGCCTGTTCGCACTTTCTGATCTTGCGCGTTATGAAGAATTTTTCCAAATTTAACGAAATCTGAGTGTTACAGTAAGTGTTTTATTAAAATAGTCAATACAACATGCGATAAAATTTCAAACAAAACAAACTTGCTAATTATCTCAATAGTGCTATTGATGGATAATAAATAAAATTATCAACTTTGATACTGTGCACTAGTTCAAAACGAACTTCTAATTGTTTATTTAAGTTAAAAGAATTTATAGATTTAAAATGGTAAATAATACATTTTAAAGCAAAAACAACAGAAAGAAAACAAACTAAAAAGAAAATTATTTATTTTAACACTGCTGTTGAAGAACTAAAAGACGGCATAACCAAGTAAATGAGCATTAACTTTAAAAAGCACAAATCAATCTTTACATTCAAATGATACGTTGTACTTTCGTAACACTCCTTTGAGTCAGAAGGTATGAAACGGCAGTAGCAGAATAAACAAAAAAAAAGGGGGTTAATGGGGGTATGGTCCCTTCTTGAAGATATACAAGCCTTGCAGCGTGATTTCATACTTGAAATAAGGCAGATTATCATTTCCTTTGAAAATTGTCCTGAATTGTCCTGTGGCAATTTTATACCTTCCTTCTCCAACGAGTGTTACGAACGATCCTGCGTGTGTATTACAATTGTGGAATGATTATTTGTTTCGTATTGTATCAATCTATGTACATATCAAATTTCATTAAAATCAGTCAAGCAGTTCTAGAGATAATTGACCTAGTCTGCAAATTCTCTTAATTTATTACACCGGTGTACATACAGGAATAAGTACATTTTCTTCATTAAATTTGCCTTTTAATACTTTTTTCTTATTTCAATTAGTAGGGGAGAGTGGGGTCAATTGTAACANCGCATAAGAACGCGTACCCCCGCTACACTGTTCCCGTACCCCTGGGGGTACGCGTACCACACTTTGGGAAACACTGCCCTAGAGGTATGATTTGCTATGGGAACATGGTGGACTTTGTGACTCGACAGATTTAACTCGCATCAGTCACCATTCACCACACGGGGAGTCTTCGGTCGGCGGGGATTGAACCCAAGAACTCTTGGACATGGGCCCAGTGTCCTACCAACCAGGTTATCCCGGCCCTTATAAGATACTTACAATGGGTTATTGGCGACGGTCTGGGAAACATCCCTGAGGATGATCCGAAGACATGCCATTGCAATTTTGATTCTCTGCACAGGGGATGGCTTCTCTGACAAGGTAGCCTGACGATCTGGGTGCGAAGTCGAGCACTTTACGATAGAACAGTTTAACAACAAGAACCGATACATGCACCCTAGGTGCCTTCGCAGGCTGATCAAAGTGGTCACCCACCCGCTTACTGACAGCAGCCAAGGATGCTTGACTTCGGTGTTCTACTGGGATATCTTTCTGTGTTCTCTGTCTTTACGATCAGTCCACTGCGGGAATTGTATTTTTTAAGACAATATAAAAAATTTATAACTACTGACATTAGTAAATCATCTATAAGAACTGTAATAACCACTGAACTGTTAGGGCCATCTCTGAGGGCGGCGTTCTATAGAATAAATACAAACAAAGCGTCATCACATTCAGAAGTGAGCTTTGACTTTCTGTAAGTAGAGACTTTCCTTTCAATATAAAAAACTGATTCTCAAAAAAAAAAAACAACAAAAAAAAAAAAAAAAAAAAAAAAACAATTCTGTTCAGTATGAGGCTATCCACATTTTTATGGATTAGAATTTCAAGTACTTGCAGATCGTACAGTCAATAATCAAGACAAGTTTAAACTCAAATGGGAGTGGATTTAATTCCTACATGTTCGCACTTTCTGATCTTGCCCGTTATAATTGCTCGTTGCGTTGCGGATTCATACTTTACCATAATCTGAGTTCAACTGACTAATGACCTATACATATAGTATAATTTAAAATGTGAATTTAGCATACTTTTTCCATGACTCAACAGATCAGTTGATAATTTAAGAGACTATGTCATTGCATAACCGTCGTTGAACAACCAACCCAATTTTTGGGTTTATGAGTACTAATGTTCGACTCCGTAGTCTTGTAATTAACCCAAACCAGAAGACAAGGGAACTTCAGCATCAAGTATAGGGAGAAATCTGCCTTGGTGGAGGACTTTTCGATGGAACTAACCCGCATTTCCGTTACATGGAGAGGAAGACCACGAGAACTTCCCACGGTTAGCCTGATGGGCAAGGGGACTCTAACCATGATCCGTCTACCACTGAGGATATTTTACATCATCACTGTGATCGGTGCAAGCCGTATGCGGAATTCGTATCGACCAGCCATCGCCGGGATTCGAACCCGGTTCACCTGATTGGTAGGCGATCGTTCTATCCCCCAAACCAACACGACTCAAGAAGCAATGTAATGAAGGCTTCCTTTTGTGTGAGATCGTTGCTTGTGATTCATAAGAACGTGTGATGAAACTAATTTTTTTATTAATTAGATATAATAATGAGTTTTATAAATGGGAAAGAAATTCATTGTTCATTCTTTATTATTTCATATAGATTAGTAGTATCCACTTTCGATAATAATAGTTCATCATTATTGCAATCTTACTTTGCATGGCAATTAATAAAGCTTGAAAATTTCAAGAATAGATTGATTTTCTTAGAAAAAAAATTAAATAAGGATTTACTTTTTTCACTTTGTCAACATTCAACGAAAGCTTCCTTAAAAGGTTAAATGATATGTTTGAAAAATTTTAAAAAAATGAGCGATTGCCAATGTTTATTTTTCCTGTTGTCATTTTCTCATCATTCATTTCATGAAGTCCTTTTCTTCTAAAATGTCTCCAATCGAAACAAATATTTTATTGATTGTTTTTAAATCATAACCATATCGCTAGACTTGTCTCTTTGATTCGAATAAATGTCAATTTAATTAAGCTTTTGAGTAGCCAAAATCGTAGAATTTTTAAAATATCAAGAAACTTTTAAATGACTATTCAAGAGGACATGTGAATTATTTTTATGCAATAATTTAGATCATTAAGCGAAACTAATACAAGTATTGGAATTGTTTGTAAGAAATAAAATGGAAATTCTGAGACTATGGAATATGCGTTTTATTATTGCGCATAAAAATACTTCATAGAAGTGTGGATAACCAAATTTTCATTAAAACAATTGAAATAAATTCTAAGGAATATTTTAAAATAGCAAATTATTCCTGCATATAATTTTTTTTTGCGTTTCACGAGGGGTAATTTTTGATTTTCATGTGTTTTCTTTGGTAATGTAATGAAAAAGATATAAAATCGTCTGTTTTAATAATTTGTCGGACCATCCGTATGGTTTCGTAGATGTATGGTGTAAAGTAATGTCGGTAATTATAGTAGATAGCATTTCTATTTCTTCTAAGTTTAAAGTTGTTTTTATGACTTATCAGATCAGAACTGAATTAAGCATTTGTAACAAAATGATAAACAAGAGGAGTAAAGAGAGGAAAAAGAAACCCATTTCAACTGGACTGTATTTTTGATTACTTTAAACAAAGAAACTCTTTTAAAAACTGGTATAAGCTTTTTCATAAAAGCCTGGTAGACATTTCAAGCTTAACTTTCAATTTGATTTTTAAATAGTCTAAAAGATTCTACATCTAAATATAATTACATATTTCTTAAAAATCGTCAGATTATGTTTTTAGTGAAATCTAGAAGCATGATTCAAAATATAGATGGTTAAAATAAGAACAAATTGCTTTCTGAAGTAATAGAGAATATTTTAAGAACATTTCAAATTCTATTTGAAATTTTATAAAGAATTTTTTAAAAGATTAAGTTCTCTTTACCATTATATTATTTAAAATGTTAACGGGAGTTGGTAGGACATTAATAATGCTAAAACTGACCTTTTCTAAGCATCTAAGCAAGAAATTGCTTAAGTTTTTTTTCCCACGGAATATTTACATATAAAATTTTACACTGTGATAACTGTTAATACACATTTCTGCTATGTTTGACAAAAAAGTATAAACTTTATTTGATTTTCTTCTTAAAAAAATAGAAATGTTTGTTTAAGGAAAAGAAAAGATTTTTGTTAAAAGCATTGTGTTATAAATCCACTATCATAAGACTGAGGTTTGATCATAACAAAATGATAGATGATTAAATCAGATACAAAAATATAAGGGCAATATTAATTTTATTAAAATGAAAAGAGAAAAAAAAACGCTGAAATAGAAAGAATAATTTTCGAACAAAAACGTAGCGTTAAATTTTACTTGAAGGCTTAGTTTTTACATTAGAATAAATTTTTATATTTTTATTTATACAAAAAAAGTAGCAAAAATATTGAAACAAATATCGTTCTGAAAATATTTAGTAAAGATGAAAAAAAGAAAAACATTATGTTATATCTCTACTCAATACTTATTGTAAACTTATTCAAAAAATTTTCCGCCATTTCAGAAACAAAAATTTTATTATTAAAGAATTATTTCAACACAAAAACGTATTTAATGTTGTAATTCTGATAATGATTATCGTATGTATTAGTTTTAATAACGCGATTAATTTTAATCTTTTTCCACTATATGAATATAATGTTTATTTAAGTGGAAAAAAATATTTATTTAAGAAGGAGAAAAAGAAGGAAAGAAACATTTTTGTTTCAAACATTATGTAATGACTCAATTTAAACCTCACATTCTATTATACAAAATTTTTTAATATTTTTCCGTCATTTAAAGTTTTAAATTATATTTTAATTATATCAACCTATAAAAATATTGTGATGATAAAGGGTTTGAAAGATGAAGTAAATTTTCATTTTAATGATTACTCACCTGTAACGGAGATGAAAAGGAAGAACGATGCAGATGCTTATGTCAAAGAAGATTACCTGTCGCAGAGGGACTCCTACGTTCCAGCTAAAGGCAGTGGTCGGCATTTATCTGCGCATGCGCCTCCCTAATCGATGATTCCACCACACAACACGACATCAGGGCTAAATAGATAGACATATTGTAAAATTTGATTTTTCGGATGGGCATTCTTCTTATTTTTCTTTTTAACTATCAACCATTCGATCGATGAGACATTAAATTTATGGCTCATTCCGAAGAACAGGGAAATAGGACTCATTCTCAAGTGGTGTTTTTTTCTGTGTAAGATTTATGAAAATTAATATTTGCACAAACTGCGGGCGACCTTAACACTAAACATACCAACACTTAATTTATACCTATTTCTACAATAGCAGATCAATTGACCGGGCCTTATGTTTCTTGATTGAATGCATGAAATATGGATGTTAGGAAGGAAATAAACTGAACAAACTTTATTATAATTAAGCAAAATTGTATAATGCCAAATTTTATGTATTACAAACACAAAGAAAAAGAATTTTTAATTCATTGCTCAACGCGTTTTTAACATATACAGGGTGTTTCTATTGAACATTTTTCGCAAACATATTTCTTCTAATTATTATTATTTCTATAATTCTTATAATTATCCTTATGACTATAAGAATATGTAAATAATTCTTATAATTATTCTTATAATTAAACTAAACTACTAAACTCAGCGGCGCGACAGCCCAAAGAGGGCCAAGGCCTACTGTGCCCATCTCAGTTTTCTTGACCTTTGGGCTCTGGGGTGCAGGAGCAGATGTTCCGGTTAGGTGGTCAGCCGAACGCGAAACCCCCAATGTTTAGTTCCCAAGCATGCTTGGTACTCATTTATCGACCCACTGAAGGGATGAAAGGCTGAGTCAACCTTGCCCGCCCCGAGGATAGAACCAGGGACCTGTGGCACGACAGCGCGAAGCGCTACCGCTCAGCCACCGGGCGTCATTCTTATAATTAATACTGTTTTTTCTAAGAACTTGTGCTGTCTTGATTGTTTCGACATTTTCTGGATAAAAACAAACAGTTAGTTTGAAATAAAGTAAAGCTATCCAAATAAAATACAAGCTACTTACTAAAACATTTAGTTTATGTCACTTTTTCTGACTTAAAATCTAAAATTTCAGGTACTTCTCGAAATTTGAATTCACAGTTATTCTGATTGAACTCACTGCGCAACAGTCTTTGCAGAAATGTGCAACTCATCGAAGGCAATACGTTGAACACACACATCACATCGTCATTTCTGATCCGATAACCTTATAAAGCAATAAACTGTTCTCCCGGTCAAATCACCGGTTGTGGTAGTAATAGGTATACGAGAAATATTATTCGAAACAAACAAAATACGAAAAATAGTAATAATAATAGAATATTAACTGTATATAATTGTTGGAAAAAGTCATGAAGTCAAATGTGCAACAACGATAAGATGATAAGCTCATTTTCGATGCAAAAGTTCTTAAACGGTCATTTGACCAGTTATGGTATGTTTAATGTTAAAATATTGATCTATTTTATAAAGTTTATTCTTTATTCGAAAATAAATTGAGGATCTCAAAGAGACCTTGCTACAATGCTACGAAACAATCATATACATATACAGACACAGTTACGTACTTTTTGCACTTAACTACTTAAAACTTTTAAATTGTTACTATAGATAGCTTAAAAAACTACTATGGATATTTAATTGTTGTGAGACTTGGTGTGGTATACGCAAGCATTGTAACAAAATACACTCTATTAAAAAAAATCGACGCACCAAGAGGCAATCATCCGATTGCTTTGAAATTTCGTATGCATGAATGTTTTGAAAACAGATATGGCTGGAATGATACCGACTGGGGACGTATAGTCTTTAGCGACGAATCCCGCTTCCAACTGTGTCCTGACGATCATCGAAGACGTGTTTGGACACGCACAGGGCAGAGGGGGGATCCTGCCTTCACTATTGCATGCCACACCAGCCCTCAACAAGGCATTATGGTCTGGGGTGCCATTTCCTTTGACAGCCGGACCCCTTTGGTCGTCATTAGAGGTACACTTACTGCACAGCGGTACGTCGACGACATCTTGAGACCTGTTTTGCTACCGTTCCTTTAGCAGCAGCGCCCTGGACTGGTTTTTCCGCAGGACAATGCCAGACCACATACGGCACGTGTTGCTATGAACTGTCTGCAGGCTTGTCAAACTCTTCCTTGGCCTGCCAGATGACCAGATCTCTCTCCCATAGAGCATGTCTGGGATATGATGGGAAGGCGATTGCATCTGGCACTGAATGTTGATGACCTCGTTCGACAATTGGATCGAATTTGGCAGGAAATACCACAAGAGACCACCCGGGAGCTTTATCGGTCTATGCCACGCCGTGTGGCAGCTTGTATCCAGGCTAGAGGCGGGTCAACATCTTATTGAACTTGTTACTCTAACTCTGCAATAAATTATTCAATTGTTCTGAAATTTTAATAGTTTACTATTCTGTATATTGTCTTCCTATCTACCAATTTTCGTTTCGATCAGACAACTCCTTCTTGGTGCGTCGATTTTTGTGTTATAGAGTGTATATGACTAATTTTTCAAAATTTTAGTTTAATATTTGGGGGAAATAAAGCTGTTATGTATATGCATAAGGCGACTTAAAGAAATGTCTTGAAATAATTTATTATCTTATACAGTCTCTCACGTTTTGTGAAACGAATTGGGGAAAAACATTTTTAGTGATTTTGTTACGTTTCTGCAACAGTATTAACTTAAGAAATTATTAACTTGAGAGAGTATTAACTTAAGAACTTAGGAGAGTACTAAATTAAACAATTCATAAAAGACCTAAATGACACTTTTTAAACAATTTAAACCATAACAATGAAATTCTGTATTCGGATACGGGGTTTTGCTTTCCAGCAAATTTCGTACAAATTTGGATCGAAAGTTGTTCAAAAGTTCAATTTGTTACTACTTTAAGCCGTCATTTTTTTTTCTTGTGATGGTGCTACTCATTAGGTATTCGCAGATATATGGTTGGCACGAGTAGATTTTTGCTTCTTATTTCGGAGTGTCTTGAATCTTGAATAAACTTCGATTTAAAGTATCTTGTGGTTAGTGTAAGTAAGAAGTAGATGGCTCAGGGAATAGAGCGTTCGCCTTCCTAGGAGGTGAACCAAGTTCGAATCCGAGCTATGGCTGATCGTCCGGCTTGCACCGACCATAGTGCTGACGTTAAATACCCTCAGTGGCAGACGGATCATGGGTTAGAGTCCCCTTGTCGTCAGGCTAACCGTGGAATGTTCTCGTGGTCTTCCTCTCCATGTAACGCAGTTCCATCTAAAAGTCCTCCAAGAAGGCAAATTTCTCTCAATACTTGATCGAGGAGATAGTTCCCTTGTCTTCTGGATCAGGTTCAAAATGGCAAGGCTACGTAGTTGAACATTAGTAGTCGTAAGCCCAAAAATTGGGTCGTCTGTTCAACGATGGTCATAAAATGATCTTAGCGCATTCTTTTCACAAACAGTACTGATGCATGCAAAGTTCTTTTTCACCTCAGAACACTGGATTGTAAAAAAAAAAACTGTCTCCCTGATTTGACCAAATTTTTTAGAAAAACTGGCTCTTAACTGCTACAATCGACATTATAAAACTGATTGCCACTACCTTCAGGACAAGAAAAAAAAAATATCAATCACACTTAATCTACTCTGCTACATCATCTGGCTAAACGAATTCTAAGCCATTTCTAATGATTTATGAAATTTCTTCTTTCCGAGGAATAATACACCCAGCGGACACTTTAAACAATTTTTATAAACAATGCAAAATTCATTCGAAATTTTTTTACATCAGGACACAAACTTTTGAAAAATACCAATAAGCACTTTTCATGGAAAATTTTTCAGATAAAGAAGAAAAAAAAAAAAAACAACCCGCAACAAATAAATATCATATGTTGACAGTTAAAAAAATTTGTGTAATATTTGTACGGAAACTCTTTTCGTGAAGGACGCCAAAATCGAAAACTACTAATAAGCATCTAGAAACATTTAAGGAAAATTTTAAAAAAAATTCTAATTTTGTCAAAAATGGAGAAAAAAAAGAAGAAAAAAAAGGAAAACTTAAAATCTACAGTAAATATTATATGAGGACACACTAGAAAATTATTGTTTTTTTTTTTTTAAATTATTAAATTATTAACATCTTATTACAAATTATTATCTTATATAATATATATAATATATGCATAAAATATGGTTTAGTTTGTACATAAATATTGTGAAAAATAATTAGCATAAAAATGCTTCTAACCTTATTTACTTAATTTATTAAATGTTAAAATCGAAAATAATAGCTGTTGTCACAGCAAATATCCCCAGGGCCGAACCCTGGATCATTAGATTTTGACCTCACGCGCAAAACTACTAAGACACGCCATTTGACTGAATAGAATTCAGGATTCTAAATCATTTCTGATGGTTTAGGGTACTTCTCTCGTTAAAATTTTTCGCAACGAAAAATTTTCATTTGATTATTTTCTCACACGAAAGGGAGGGTGAGGGTAGAGTTGTTATCGACAATGTCAACTATGAAAAGGTACCCAACGATAGAATCGAGTTAACATGTCTTATATACGACTGAATTGGAATTATATATTTGTAGTGGTAAATACACTACAGTACTTCCCTACCTGAATTATGTCTATGATTGAAGTCGATGAACGGATACCACTAGTTGATCCATCGCTGTTTTGTGAGAAACCGGTATAACTGTATTAAGAACGTCGTACTATTTGAGTGCTGATCGAGAGAGCTGTATTAAGTTCGCAGTCGTGGTCGCTCCTTTGTTTCCTTTAGCAGTCGAGTGTATACGCTGTACGTGATCGAGACTAAGAAGTCGAGCTTGAGAAAAGGAATGTCGCAGTCACAAGTAGCAAGTCAACTGTTCAATATAGACCATCCTACGAAATAGGCGTGTTCGGATCGAAGTGGGCGTTACTGTCAAAATAGGCGTGTTCAGATCGAAGTGGGCGTTACTGTCAAGATAGGCGT